AGGTGTCGCGGGCCGCCGAGGTGCCGGAGCGGGTGCCGCAGCCCATTGTGCGCCCTGCCAGGCGCGCTCTGTTGCAGGGGAGCCCCGGCCGGGCAGCGTGGACGCGTTTCTCCAGAGGCCCGGCTGCCTGGTCCGCTCTAGTCCAGCCGAGCCGGAGCACCTCGGACCAATCCCCGGCGATTATGCAAGACAGCGGACCAATCAGCTCCGCCAGCTTATGAATATTTATGACCTTGGCTGAGTCAAAGCTTTGAAGCGAGTTTGGGGAGCTCGGCAGCATCATGCTTAGACTTTTCAAAGAGACAAACTCCATTTTCTTATGAATGGAAAGTGAAAACCCCTGTTCTGCTTAAATTGGGTTCCTTCCTGTCCTGAGAAACAGAGACCCCCAAAAGGGAAGCAGAGGAGAGACCCACACCCAGACCCCGCGAGAAGAGATGACCATGACCACCATGCCAGAAAGTCTCAACAGCCCCGTGTCGGGCAAGGCGGTGTTTATGGAGTTTGGGCCGCCCAACCAGCAAATGTCTCCTTCTCCCATGTCCCACGGGCACTACTCCATGCACTGTTTACACTCGGCGGGCCATTCGCAGCCCGACGGCGCCTACAGCTCGGCCTCGTCCTTCTCCCGACCGCTGGGCTACCCCTACGTCAACTCGGTCAGCAGCCACGCGTCCAGCCCCTACATCAGTTCCGTGCAGTCCTACCCGGGCAGCGCCAGCCTCGCCCAGAGCCGCCTGGAGGACCCAGGTACGTGCGCCCGCCAGTCGCCTAGGAGGAGGCAGGAAGACAGAGAGGGAATGAGAGAGGAGAGAGAGGAAAAGGGGGGGAGAGAGAGAGGTGGGGTGGGGGTGGGGAGGGCATGGGAGCAATGAAGGTTTCGGGTATCAATCTATGGGTCTTTATCATAGCAAAGAAATTTTGTTTAAAAGTTCACCCAGCTAGCTACTCTCCAGCCAAGGATAAATCCGAGCGCGTCCCCTGGCACTGTCTGGGCCTCTGGGCGGCTCCGTACGCTGAGCACACAATGCCCTGCTGGAAAACAGAAACCCACATGTGCACGTATTAGTCTCGGTAATTATTTATTGCGTAGCGCTATAAACAATGTATGCAATTAAGGGTAATTAAACCTCAACTACCGCCTGCAAAAATAGCAAACTTTCCCTGCAAAGGCAGGAGCCGCACGCCTGGGAATGGCCCCAGCCCGGCTGCAGAGGCCCGGGCGGGCGGGCCCTTGGACTCGGCGGGACCCTTTCAGTTCTTGGCGAGTTCTCTCTCTGGCCTGGCCACCGCCTGCCCTTGGTAGCTACCGGCCTTGGATCCCCGCACTCACGGCGGGCCCTGCACATTAACCACGGCCCTCCTGCTTCTGCTGTCCCATCCAGGGGCGGACTCCGAGAAGAGCACGGTGGTGGAAGGCGGTGAAGTGCGCTTCAACGGCAAGGGGAAAAAGATCCGCAAACCTAGGACGATTTATTCCAGTTTGCAGCTGCAGGCTTTGAATCGGAGGTTCCAGCAAACTCAATACCTGGCTCTGCCCGAGAGGGCGGAGCTCGCGGCCTCGTTGGGACTCACGCAGACGCAGGTACCTCGCCGCTGCCCCTCCGTCGAACTGGCTGCCCGCAGCAGGCCTGAGCCGCCGGCTGCTTTCCTGCCCTCTGGGCCTCGGGGTCCGGGTGTCATGCGTGTGTTTGTACGTGAGTGTATGTGTGTGCCCCGCACACACGCCTTCTCTAGCATCTCTTCTTCCTCCCTCTTTCTCTGCCCGGGTTCTGCCTCCGCTCTGTACCCAGGACTGCCTGTCACCCACGTCCTGGACCATCTGATTAGGGCACAGGAAGGATTTTTCTCAATGCATTGTTGGAAACTCTTGAGGTGACACGTGCCTGAGCAACTGGAACAATAGAAAACGGGGCTTAATCCGGGTTTGCCTTTAAAGAGTGGGACTAATGGCTAGTTCAGGGCCTAGGTCTCAGCCTCGCTCCCTGCTCTGGTTCCTCAGTGGTCACAGGGAGGAGCTCTTCCTCTGCCCTCTCACCTCTCAAGCCCCAGACCCTGGAGGAGAAACCTGCCCCAGCCCCCTGATTTTTCTAAGACCCTTGAACATCCTGACCTCGTCTGGCCCGGGTTTCCAACGTCCAGCCCGGGATTTGGAGGCGAGCTGGGGAGAGCCCACGGAGCCTTAATAAAAGGTTTGGGTTCAAAAAACAGTTCAGCAAAAAACCCAGCGGTCTCTTCAGCCAGCTCCCCACTCACAAATGGGTGGTTCCAGAGAAGGTAGCCTGCATTGCAAATAAATTTCGTCCACTACTTTCTAGGTTTTGGATTTTTTTTAAAAATTATGTGTGTGTGTTAGAATTGCTGCTGCTTGGGGATTCTTCGGGGATGTTGTGGTGTCTTCTGCGGAATGTCCTGGGGTCTGGCACAGGTCCCAGGCAGGTCTAGGTCTGGATGGCTGGGCCCTTTGAGGCTTCCTGGGGGTCACGGGGGTGTTCGGCTCCTCTGTCAGGGGGCTGTCAGGGTGCTAGGGAGGAAGGCTGGCCTCTCAGCCTCCCTGGGCCGCTTCCTCCCACGGAGAGCTCCTCTGAGCAGCCCAAGTCACGTTGTTGGTTGTCCGTTCCTGCAGGTCAAGATCTGGTTCCAGAACAAGCGCTCCAAGTTCAAGAAGCTGATGAAGCAGGGCGGGGCGGCGCTGGAGGGGAGTGCTCTGGCCAACGGCCGGGCCCTGTCCGCGGCCTCCCCACCCGTGCCGCCCGGCTGGAACCCCAACTCCTCATCCGGAAAGGGCTCAGGCAGCAGTGCGGGTTCCTACATCCCCAGCTACACGTCGTGGTACCCCTCCGCGCACCAAGAAGCTATGCAGCAACCTCAGCTTATGTGAGGCTGCCCGCCCGCCAGCACCGCGCCCGTCCGCCTCTTCCCGTCTGTGTACCTGGCCCGGGCTCCTCTCTCCTCCTGGTCCATCCCTCCTGTCCTCCAGCCCTGGGCCCAGGGGAGAAGGGCCCAGAGGTTAGACTAGTCAGACAGGAAAGGCAGAACACCCCTCCACCCCCCGCCGCCACCGCCGTGGAGCCCCGCGTGGTCCCACCTGCCTGGTGAATTCCCCTGGAACCCTAGACTTGTGTCCTCATCCGACCCCGGCCTGGGCCGTGCAGCGACAGCGGAGAGGGGCCTCAAAACACAGGCACAGTCGCTGGGAGGGACGGCTGGAGCCAGAGCCGCCCACCCTAAGCTTTGTGGGCCGATCAGGAACATCTACAAAAGCAATGTCGAAAAAAGCTGGCGCTTTTTTCTGTCGTCTCTTGTCTCTTTTTGCTCTGTGTCCGTGATCTGCAGACATTGTCATTGTCCAGGTCCTCATCCGCTCACCGACCGTACTCATCCCCTGGTCTCTGCAAATAGTCACCAAGTCGGAGGGTGCACCGTTCGCCAGGACATCCCGCTAGAGAATACTGGGGACGCTGGGTTCTGTCAGACGTTCTCTTGGGCTCTACCTGGACATCTGTGTCACTTATTTGGGGAATTGGGGAACATTGAAGGGAGGGGGTTTTATTTATTGAAAAATGGACTTCGCTCTAGGCTCAGCGTGTCTGGCCAGTCAGCAGTGCCAAGGGGCGCACTGACCGAGGCAAACGCCCAAGACTTTCAACACACCGTGACAAACAAATTGGAAGGAAGTGGAGATTTTTAACTTTTACAGTCACTTTTGTACTTCGCTGGTATGGAGAGGGTGGAGCTTCATGATTTGCGTTTTTTCATGTCCGTATTATTATAAAAAATAATAATAGAGACGAGAAGAGTGATGAAGCCAACATGATTTTCTCATCTCTGGAGAAACATGCTAGCTCGCTTTGCCTGGACAGGAAAGAACATCTAAGACCTCGAAAGAAGAGGAGTGAGGAACCACAAGAGAAAACAGGCAGGCTGGAGAGAGCTGGCTCCCCGATCCAGTGGACATTTAAGTAAGACATAAGCAGCTTTAAAACAATCCCCAGTCGCTCAACCGCAGAATCATGCGAGTCACCACCCTGAATGCAGTCTCCAGTGCAGGATCGAATCGCTGTACATATGATTGTTGTTATTAATTATTATTATTATTATTGTTCTGTAAACATGTTGCACAAGCTTAGCTTTTCCCCCCTTTCCGTTCCGTTGTGTGTGGCTGTAAAACCCGATGCTTTGTGAAATGAGAATCTTGACATTTTACTTGTGAAATTTGGAAAATGTGATCAATTGAAATCAACTGTGTTTTGTGTTTCTCTATGTCAAAGTTTAGTTTTATATTGAGAATGTTAACTTATTGCTTTGTATCTTGGGGTGGGGTGGGGAAAGAACTTTGTAAATATGTTATAAAGTTTCTTTGAGACAGTAAAATTATGGTTTCGAGAAAGAGCTGCTGTGTTGTGTGCTGGTGAGGGTGCGAGGGGCCAGATGACTATGACTGGGGACAAGTAGCACTGGGGCAGGTGGCCTGTGTCGAGGACCAAATGGGGACACCGAGCACTAGACACATTAAAATATCTACCAGAAAAAAAAAAAAAAATATCTACCAGAGGGCAGGAAGCCACCCCATTGGGCCTACCCCTCTGCATAGGTCCCCAGAGCTCCAAGGGTCTGATCTCCACCAGAACTGGGGAGAGAATACTGAAAAGGGGCTGGGATGAGAGGCCAAGAACCGGTGCCAGACAGAGAGATGCAGCTCAGGAACCCAAGGGGCAGTCAAGGCCACTGAGATGGCATGAAGGCAGAGTTCAAAGGCAGTTTGGGAGACTTCTAACACCCCCCACATTATCAATGCCAAGAGAGGCCTGGAAGCAGAAACTGCACTGCCCCCATAGCTTCTCATCCTCCAGCCTCCTGGCTCTTGCTCATGGGAGGCTGCTGGATTCTATGGCGGAAAAAATACCACCAGCCACCAGGGTGAGGGAGGCCTGGAGGACATATGTGGCCTCCTAAGCCCCCCCCCCCCTCAATCCCTGTTCTGAGGAATGGGGACAGTGTCAAGATCTTCTCCACTCCAACCCATGAACCAGAGGGTGGCCTATGTCCGCCTGATGTTGATTACCCCAGTCCCTGAGAAATAGAGGTGGCTAGGGAGGGGTGCGGGGGGGGGGGGGGGGTGGGGGGGTGCGGGGGAGGGTACTCCATGGACTCTTGAGACTCCAAGAGCTGGCCAAAGTCACCTTACCAAAAAAGTTTGCAAGCCTAATATCTAAGGGGACGCCTTCTGCTGAGACCTTTGGTCAGTTAGGTCTGAGAACCAGGAGGCTCCTCTCTTTGCCCTGCGTGGGACTGCCTGCCCCCAACCTCAGAGCCCGCAGCAGGGGCTGAGGCTGCTCCAGAAAGCTGTGCCCAACGGGTGGTGTGGCTGGATTCCCGCTTCCCCCGCACCTGCCTTCCGCTGCTTCCCCCAGGGGCTGGCCCTCCGCCTTTGGGGGGGCCCCTTCCGGCACACGCAGAGCTATGAAGGCAGTGATCTGTGTTGTGACAAGCACCCATTTTTCAATTGGTGCTAGTGAAAGATCAAATGCGTGGGGCCCTTAGGACGCCCTTTGGGAAGGGGCGGAGGAAGTGACAGGGAGGGCTAGTAAGGAGTCGTGGCCAGGTGGGGGATGGAGTCTGGAATTTGGAGGCCCCTGGTGGACTTAGGATTAGGATTTTCCTCTTCCACCAGCCCCAGAACCTGGAGCGCTCAGGGAATGGCAGAGGCCAAGCTGTGGGTGGGTGGGTGGATCTCAAACACCCAGAGAAGAATGGAATTGCCAGGTGGGCTGGGACACTGGGACCTGGCGCCCTTCTTCGCTGCAGTTATCTCTGGGAGGTATGGTTTTGCTAGTGGGGAGATTTGAGCGAATTTTTCTTACACGGGTTTCCCAGACAGCAGTGAGGGTCCACACTTCCAGCCACAGGCAAAGTCTGTTTGGTCAAGCGGATTTTAATACTTTGAGATATTAGTTTATACTAATTTAATAATCTCTTGCTAACAGTTCAAATAGAGAAATTATTAGTTTTAGCTCAGCGAAGGCGGTCTTTACTTAGGCTCTATTATAATTATAAGCGGTTGTACTTTTAAAAAATGTTAATCTCAATATAGGCCTAATTAATGCTGCCTTGTTTCTGACAAGTAGTTCATCAAATATCTGATTCAAAGATTTTCATAATGAGTATATTAATTAAACTATGAATAATCTAACGGTGGTTATATTTAAACAATACCTCATTATAATGATTAAATACTGATTTCGAATATTATGTCTTAACAATTGTCACTTAGAAAACACAACCTTTCCTTAGGTATGAGTCTGTAATGGCAAAATGCAATTTGGGGATTTTTTCCCCCTTGTTCAAAAAATGTGAACCTCATTTTAAAACACTTCTGAAATAGGTTACACACAGCTTAATGATTATCAAAATGACTCTTTTCTGCAAAAAAAGACCCCAAAGTGCGCGTACAGCTGCAAACCCAAGAGGGTCAGCATCATTTCACTGTATTCTCTTCTTGATTACAAGCCGGGCCCATCAAACACAACATAATTACAGTAATTTCAGGTTTATTTATTCTAATGCAGTTTCCCCATCTCTCTGGTAATTATGAGCAATTTTTTCGCCCAGGGAATCTTTTTGCATTAACAAAAGAGATAACGCACTGAAAGCCAAATTTGCTGTGCATTGAGAAAAGGGGGGAAAAAAATCAAATAGGTGCTAGCTGCCATCCCTGCACTTCTCTGGGAGCAGAGCCGGCAAATTGCTTGCAGGTGTATGGAGCAAGCTTGTCAATGGCCTGGTCTCCAAATTAGCAAATGCACAGCGTCGAAGTAATGAAGACAGACTTCGCAAAATCGCCAAACAACAGATACCTCTTTCATATCTTCTCTCGCAGGCGCTCGCTCTAAAAGGGGTAGGGGTGGGGGTGGGGGGGGGGGGCGGTGGGCTGGGGGTGGAAGCAGAAGCAACCAATCCCAACCCCCTCCTCACCGGTCCTGGTTTTCCGAAGCTTCCAGGGCTTGAGGGGTGGGGGGCGGGTGCAAGTAGTAGTCTAATTGCAGAAGAACCCAGCTCTTACATCTAGGCAATATTTTTGAGAATCTATAAAACTGGAAACATGTTTTCAATTCGTAGCTTTCCCTCATCGATCATTATGTTACACTTTTCTTTCTTTCTTCTTGGAATCTGTACCGGGGTGGGTCTTCAGCCTTCCTTCTTCTTTGCTAGTTTTAAGAGCCCTAAAGAAAGTTTTTACTCTCTCCCCCTCACCTTCACCAAAGTCTGGATTCATTCTCAGGGTGCCATTGGGTGGAGAAAGGAACGACATCCCCCCTGTCCCTTACTGTAAAAGGAGGACCATCTCTGCCAACGGAGGAGAGAGACATCTGGGCGCTGGATATAAAGCCCTATCAAAACCACGAGCAAGTGAAATGGGGAGCCAAGAGGCCACCCAGGGCCCCAGCCACGAATCTTCACCCGGGTACCCATTTGTTTCTTCCTGCAAGTCCATTCTGAACTCTCTAGCTTTGGTCCAACCACTGCTTGGGTTGAACACCCTAAAGCCTTAATTAAGCTAAAGCAAAGTTTTCCATTCCTCATCCCACAAGGCTGTTGGGATTGCCTTCCTATGCAGTATAGAGTAGAGGGTCCCTCTTCCAAGCCGCAGAAAGCCCTCCTCCCCGGTCCGCAGCTCCACAACAAACCCTAACTCCAGGGTAGACAGGCAGACGGTTTAAAGGGTACCTTCTCCAAGATCAAGAAACATGTCACCCCCACCCGCCCCTCCCCAATCCCCTCCTTTATCCCCCAACCTTCAGGGATTAACACTTCCTGAAACATCAAGTGTTTTTATAAAAAGGAAAAAAAATAATCCTGACACCGCTGACAAGAAGTTTTGATGGAAGAATTAGCTGGTGCATAC